CAGGCACTTCAAGTTTTTATATGGCATATTCTTGTGCTCTGTCGCAAATGGACTCCTAAATTCATTCTATACTGGTGCTAATTCCCAGGCACTAAGTCAAAGTAGCCGACGTTTCATGATTTACGTTCATTCAAAAGGCATGATAGTTGATGACGAGTATGTGATATTGGGATCTGCAAACATCAACCAGCGCTCTATGGAAGGAACAAGGGACAGTGAGATTGCTATGGGAGCTTATCAACCTCATTATACCTGGGCAAGAAGACATTCTTATCCTCGTGGACAGGTATATTTTATTGGCAATTAGTCATTTTAATGGCAAGCCATTTTTCATGTGACCATATTCTATCTTCACCCTAGGCATTCTGGCAAAGAAGTTGATCATAATTAAATATCTGATAGTCATAGGGAAATTCCCGAAGGTGCTGCTTAATAGAGAGACATGAAATATGAGCATGATGCATGATAAAGCCAATTTTTTATGGCAAGATAGCTTAATGCCATGAGAAGTAAATTAGGGTCGTATGTGCACTACCACGGTTATATTCTCAACTATCTGTGGACAGATTCTTATAATAGAAATATTTCATTGCTTGACGTCTCTAGACAAATTCTTCATGATAATGAAGCCACAAAGCTGGGTCTTGGGGTTGTCTTCTGATTCCTCTATGCCCTACGAGTAGAAACGTAACTTTGTCTAGGGATATCATGCAATAAAATGTCTACCTATTGAACAATACTTCAATCAGCTTCTTTCTCTGGTATCAGGGAAAGTTACCAACTAAGTGTCTACTTTAGTTCTGATTGATGCAAAACAATCAAGTACGTACTGTGACTAGAATATCAGTGTTTTCTCATATGTGCTGTCAGGGATCCATTTAGAGTGAGAGAGGGAAGGTGAGGCCCAGTGGGATCTGCTTACCCTTCTCTCTATCCCCTCGCTAAATCTAAAGGGCCCTAGATCTGTATTTTCATTATGGGATTACAAAAGAACACATTAAGGTGGCATGTGGTATATAAAATATCCTATTTTCCCTAATATTTGGAAATCTGTATGTAAACTTTGACTAGTTAAGGTCAGTCAACTCAGATAGCTCCCCCACTTTTGGAGATTATGTTTCCTTGTACCTAACGCCACCTAAAAAACTTAATTATTTTGGTTTTAATTTGTTTTCCCTTCATACCACTTTGGTGCATTATGATTCCTGTACTTAGACCTGACTGCCATTCTTCATGAAACTGCACCATGTAGATCCATGGATATAGGATGTCGCTCTGGGCAGAACACACAGGAACAATTGAAAACTGCTTCTTGCAACCGGAGAGCCTGGAATGCGTCAGAAGAGTAAGAGCAATGAGCGAAATGAACTGGAAACGATTTGCAGCACCAGAAGTAACGGAGATGAAAGGGCACCTACTGAAATACCCGGTAGAAGTTGATCGAAAGGGAAAGGTTAGATCCCTCCCTGGCCATGAAAATTTCCCAGATGTTGGTGGCAAAATAACGGGGTCATTTCTAGCCATTCAGGAGAATCTTACCATTTGATGAATTTGAAAACATTCACTTCGTCCTCCTAGCCATTAGAATGAGATGGATGTAAGTTACAAAATAGAATATTTTATAGTTTCTGGGAAATAATTTACACCATAGAGGAGTTGACAATTCTTGAGTGCGTCATACTCGTTGAAAATACAGATACGGTGTACAGTTTTGTAACTTGGACTTTTTGGTTATTCTTTTGCTTTGCCGGGAGGAAAAAGCTAGAGCCTACTAGCCACATGTATTTCAGGTTAGATGGCTGGTTTTTGTTCATGTGAATATTGTAATAACAAGAACTATGGATGATTTTCTATAGATTACTCGTAAAATTTCTAATTGTTGCTCTTCGAATATTATGAAATATGGTTGGCCAAATAAATTATGATGTATTTTGTATGAATTGGCTCTTTTTTGGAGCACATTGTAATTGATTTTATTAGATGATCAACTGGTCCTGGTGATTAGTGAATACATCGTGATAGAGGTGATAATATAATGCGGGGATTGGTTGTAAAAGGATCTCTGGCGGGTTGTGTATTTTACCGACTGACCCCACCAACCCGTCACTTTTTTTTTAATTTTTTTTGTCTTTTGTTTCCTTTTAATGGAAACGATAAATAAATATCCTCAAAATGTCAAAAACCTAATTCAGTGACCTCAAATTGGTCTCTAGGTGTTAATTTTGGATTTGCAAATTTTGTTAAAAGACCACATTACCCTTAATTCTTTGGAAAAAAGATACAAAAATAACACTTCAACTTGAAAATCTCAAAATGATAACTTTTTTTTTTTTTCGAGTGGAAAGGCAAGCATAAGCTTGGGTTACAAAAAGATGAGGTTAGTCAGCATTTCTAAAACTGACATCTACCAATTCTTGGTCTCTCGCGACTTGCGCTCTGCATGATATTGGCACCTGAGATAATACTTCCAAGTCGTCTCCCATTCTCTGAGCTTCCCTTGCTAGAATATCAGCACATGCCATTGCCTCTCGTTTCGCATGCAACAGCATGACTGACGGTAAATTATAAAGCACTTCCCTAGTTTCCTCCACCTCAGCGCGAAAAGGATGGTTGATTGTATTATCTCGCATCAACGTAGTGATTGCCTCCATAGAGTCCGAGTAAACCAGAACATCGCGCATGCTCTGTTGCTGGCACATTTCCAGTCCCGCTTTGATCGCCATTACTTCTGCAATGGTAGGTGGGTAATTTCCAAGTTGCTGCTTGAAGCCTATTACCCAATGTCCTCTGTGGTCTCTGATCAGGCCGCCGCATGTAGCTTTCCCATGATTGTCTACCGAAGCATCAACGTCCAGTCTTACTTTCCTGAGTGGTGGTGGACGCCACTCATCTTCTATGGCCATGCCGCTTTGGAATATTCTGTGTCGTAGTTTCCCGTCTTGCACATGCTCCGTCAGGTGATATAGACACTGGTGCAAAATCTCCAAGTGGGTACTCTGGCCTTCCCCGAAAACTTGTTTACACCGCTGCTTCCAGATTAGCCAACAAGCATGACCAAATATCGTTGTCCATGCCCAGGTGGCATACCGAGGTTTGCTTGGTTCCTTTGTTGTGTTCCATTCTACCCATTCCTGCAAATCACAAGAGAAAAAAGCAGAATACATGTTAGGTCTAATAAGTTCCTTCCATACTTTTTGCGCTCTCTCACAGTCTCTAATGAGATGAAGGACACTCTCTTCACTCATACACCCCAAAGGGCACTCTCCTGAAGATGAAATTCCTCTCTTCGCTCTCAAAGAGTTGGTCATAATTCTCCCATGGGAAAGTTGCCACAAGAACAATTTGATTTTTTCAGGTAATTTCCACCGCCAAAGTTTCCGCCAGACCGGACTCCCCATTCCATGCTCGGACTTAGATAGGAATTGATACGCTGCCTTTACTGAAAACCGTCCATCTGAGGCTTCACGCCAGCACGGGACATCAGCTTGTGTGCCTCTTGGGGTTTTAGTTCTAACGAGTATCCGTATCACCCACTCCGGCAAAAATTGCCTCCAGTTTCTATGGTTCCAGAGCCCCCCCGGAAGTATGAAATCTGCCACTCTAGCTTCTGGATTGATCTGACTAAGATTGTTGGAGACATACTCTATAAGTGGTTTTTCGAGGGGTGCCCACAGATCCCACCAAAATTTTGTAGTTAAGCCACTATTTACTTTCTTTCCAATTCCTTGCATGAATTTTTCCCACACCGTATGTATGGCCTGCCAAACTAGAGAGGAGTTCCTATGTAAAATGATAACTTGAATAAGCAAAATCCTAATTTAGGTATAAGTGGCTAATTTTTACAAATTTGCTGAAATGATCTTATTACTCTTTTTTTAAAAACAAATACCCTCACTAGCCGATCGGTCGTCGGAGCTTTGATGCCAGCTGTGGCTGCCAGAGCTCAAGTGGCCATCGTCACCAGAGCTCTGGTGGTTGGTCGACAATTAGTTGCTGGAGTTTCAGTGGCTAGCAACTATTATTTTGAAAATTTTTACAACTTCAGTAGTAACATGGTTAACAAGTTTTACAACGTTATTAACAAGTTCAGTATAACAGTTAACAATAGGTCTTTCAGGAAATTCAAAAAGTGATATTTTCACAACTTCAATAGTGCTATTAACAAGTTCTATAACTCTATTGACAAGTTTGGTATAGCATTTAAAAACAAGTTTTCTGAGAAATTTAAAAAGTAACATTTTTACAATTTCAATAATACGGTTAACAAGTCATATAATGATATTAACAACTCTCATAAATGTTGATATTTTTAATATTAGCTCCCTATGAAGTTTATACAACAAAATTTTTTCACTTATTAGATAGCCATTATGGTTATGAGAGTTGTTAATATCATTATATGATTTGTTAACTATGTTACTGAAATTGTAAAAATGTCACTTTTTGAATTTTCCAGAAAGCCTATTGTGTTAAATGCTATACTGAACTTATTAATAGAGTTATGAAACTTTTTAACAGCATTACTGAAATTGTAAAAATGTTACTTTTTGAATTTTTCAAAAAACTTGCTGTTAATTGATATACTAAACTTGTTAATAGTGTTACAAAACTTGTTAACTGTGTTGCTAAAATTGTAAAAAAAAAAAATTTAAAAAAATAGTTGCTAGCCACGGGAGCTCTAGCGACTGATTGTCGACTGATCATCAGAGCTCCGGTGACAGTAGCCACTTGAGCTCTGGCGGTTGCCGCTAGCACCGAAACTCTTGCGACCGGCAGCTGGTGAGGGTATTTGGTTTTTTAAAAATGATAAAAAAAATAAAAGATAATATGATCATTTTAACAAGTGTACAAATTACATATAAATCACTTATGCTTAAATTAAAATTTAACTTATTTAAATAATTATTTTTAGATTTTTAAGTTTAAGTGTCATTTTTGCGTATTTGTTATGCTTCTCTCCCATTTTCATCTTGCGACACTCATCCCCTCACAGCCCTGACACCATCAATAGCAACTACTTCCCCATTGGCCGCGCAACTGTCATCAGCATCTCGTCCCACCCACTACTGCGACTCTCCTTCCCCACTTCCGTCCCTCCATCGTCTTCCCCGGCCACAACTCGTCGTCGTTGCTTACTTCTACCATCATGCCCTAGTATTTCTCACACCCTATTGTAACAATTCATTACACAGTAGACGGCCTCTACACTTTCCTCGCCGCAACTTCGTCTCTGCGTTCTCCCATGTTTTCCCCCGCCCGCACCTCCCCCTCCCCCTTCTAGTCTTCGTTGCTCGCTTCTCATTCCTAGTCGCGACCTGGCCAATGATCTTATTACTCAGGTATTATTCTTTCTATATTGGTGGCCTTGACCAATTTTCTAACTAGGAAGAAGAATTGCCCATTCTTGCTAGTGTTTATAAATCTACTATCTTTTATGTAATTCGGGCCTATGAGTTTTCTAAATTGATTGTACAAGCATAAACTTCGGTAGTCAATGTTCAGGGTAACCGTTGGGTAGTTAATGGGATTGGAATAATTTTATACTCCTATGCTGTAGTAGTTCGAGCAGCAGTAACGATGAAGTGTCGTTATTGACACTTGGAACCTTTTAAAGCTTGGTATGGTATGCTCCATTATTGGAAGAATTGAAGCTCACTTAATCGGTTGAACATTTTGCTATGCATTGAAATGAAATGTGATACTTCACCCTTCCACTTTTTTGGGACTGGCGATCCGTTAAATTCAAGATTATTAATATGTGATTTTTGCTTCTGATTATTCTTGAGGGAATGTACAGAATCAGGAATAATTACACTATAAAAGGAAGGAGAGGTGGAGAATAAACAAGAAAAGTAGCACCAGAGGCAAGACTGCTCATAATCCGAGGTCAAATTCTAGCCTAATTGTGATTGGTATTTGAAAATAAGATGAGTCATAGATGATTCCAGTTTCTTTTTCAGTGTCTTGGTTTTCCTGCAGTTCGTCCAATAAAGAACTCTACATTCGACAGCAGTTCACCAGGAAACAGCTACATCACATATTCACATTCTAGTTAAATGTGATTGGTAATCAGTTTGAGCCACAGATCATTTCAGTTTAGCGGTTTCAAGCTGCAAGTCTAGTTAAAAACTTCACTACAGCAATTTAGCAACCTAAGCACCCTATCATGGGAGTTCAAGTTTTCAACGCATGCCCTCTTCTTTGTACCCATGTGTCTAAACCACTGAATTTTCCTTTCTTTTTAATGAACGGAGAAAAAAATTTAAGAGAAGAGTATCGTGGGTCAATAATCCAATATCATGGATGCAATTTTAAATCAGTAATTAAATATATTTAAATGATTGAATACAAGGGCCTCTTGGATAAAACCTAGGGTTTCAAAATATTTTGAGCTCATCAAACATTTATATACAACTTAACTACATAATTTTTCAAATCAAAGAAACATGTCACGGAAAATTAGTATACAATTTCAGGGTAGGATAGAAGCAATTAGTATAACAACACCTGCTACCTTCCCTCAAGTGATTGTAGTCGCATTTCATTTTTGAACATCTGGATGGTTGATTACTCTTCTTCTAAAACAATATAGAACTGGCTAAAATGTGTTGTCAATTGTGAAACTATTATGATGAATAGCTAATTTGTTGTAGTCAATTGCTAAAGAAGTACTGCAAATAATCTGAATGAAAGGTCTGAATTCAAGGACGAGGCCTTTTATCAGAACATCATGAATCCATATCCAGTATCTCCTCTGTAGGAAAACCGGCAATGCATATCACAGCTATCCCAATGCTATCTGACTCAGGCGGCGTTAACTTCGTGTAATTATTGTCGAAAATTGTTTGTTTCATGGACTTGGAATTGACAACTGACTTTCTCTGCAGTGTGCATGTGTTGATATCACGGTATGGTTAAGCAAATGGGACATTGAAATACACAAATAAACAAGTGATTGCGTTTAGCTGTAATCTCTTGTGATGGCTGCTTAACCATAATGAATATTGTTAAAGGGCTAAAGCTTTGGAGTTGCCTGAACAGTAAAAAAGATAACAAAGCGGCAGCACTTGTCGAAATACTGAAATAGTGAGCAGGGTTGTTGCTAGTTGAATTTATGTGATTATGATGTATGAATTAGGTGTTTATTGCTTTATCAAACCTTTTGACAATTGTGTAGTATCTAGTAACTACTTGTGTTTGAAAGACACTGCCTGAATTATGTAATATTTATTTGTTAACAACATCTTTATGTGTATTCATTATAAGTAATGTGGGAAATTCATAATAGGACATATCAATTGTCATCACATAAATATATTAACAATTTTGTTAGGTATGGTGATAATTCTTCCAAATAGATTAACAACAAGTAATCAGAAAAATTTATTACAACTTTGTTACTCTTCCAAATATGGATTAATAATACTTTTATATGCGTTGACAACAAATAACCAAAGAAATTTATTACAACTTTGCTAGGCCCATTGAAGACTCTTCCAAATAAATTAACAATAATTTTATATATATTGACAACAAGTCATTAGCAAAATTTATTAGAAGACAAGCCAATTAAGAAACTCAATCAAATCATATGTTGCTTCCTTGTTATGTGCATTGACAATTCTTTCATATTGATTAACAATACCTTTTATATAAATGAATTACACTAACTTGCTTTCTACATTATCTTTTCTTTGTCAATTTATCAAGAATAAGCTTGACTTTTACCGACATTTGAAAATGACAAATTAGTACTCCTGTTCTGGAATGGGCTTTTGCTTTTCATTAGCACTGATATGGGATTTTATATTTAGGAGTATTTTCTTGTCCTTTTTTCCTCCTAATAAAATCTATTCCACTTTCTAAATATCTAAAATAAAACATCCAAATAGAAATTATTATAAATAAAACGTGAAATCCAAACATCCCAAATTATTAAACATACATGACACATCCTGAATTATTAAACATAAATGTCAAATTAAACCAACACAATATCACAATCAAGTGGTGAACCATCATCTACCATTCAATATTATGGAGACGTTGCGTTTTGCAAGGGAGGAAAAGAATTTTTTTTTTTTTTTAAAGGCTAGCCTACCAACCTTGCGGGTTAGCTTGCCACTAGTTCGGTCTTGGTAGTTACAAGCTTAAAAAGTCAATTTTAAAACAAGCTAGATTTTCATCAATCTAACCTACCATTTCTTGGCTGTTTGACATGTTGAGCCCATAGACTCAACTTATATTATCGGCTCTACATTGTGAAACTTCACTGTATCTATAATTTGATAATTATTTGCGTGAGAAGTGGACGGCATTAAGTTCCTATAGACTTAAAATAGCACCACATTTTTCAATTTAATTTTTATAATATTTATTGATTTATTAATATTTGTAATTACCATTGTTCCTTATTTTTAATTAAAAATTATTTTTCATTTTATTTCAATTTTTATTTTTATTTCATTTGATTATTATTGACATTATATCGAATTGATTTAAAAATTCATTGACTAGTTGCTCCAACAATAATGCCATCAATCACACTTGGATGAAGTTCCACATTTGAGCTCACAATATCAACAACTTTAGACTAGCAACATAAAAGCATAGTTCCTTTTCTCCAAACTACTCTTCCTTTCCTAAATATAAGATCCATTCATAATACAATTTATACTATAAAATGATTCTTATATCATAAAGTGGTATTTGTTTGGGGAATATTTCAGCTATTAACAATTTTAATCCGTTTAAGATGTGAGCATGAACAAAAGAAGATTATAACTTGAAAATTTTTGAATTATAATTCAATATCGTATGCAGTTTACCTGCTGTTAGCCCTCTAATCAATTCATTATCCATCCTCCATAATCAATCAGTCAAGATGCGGACCAAAAGACAAGCCCAAACAAGATGCATAGCCAAATCAAGACCTGTTTCAAGATAGTTTGGGATTTGTCAGCACCTGTGCCGCGCAGTGGCATGGTAGCCACCTGTTGGTGGCTCTTAACAGGTTCAATCCCTGCCCGCAAGCGGAGCTTGCCTACTCAAAAAAAAAAAAAAAAAAAGAATTGTTTGGGATTTAATCCCCTTTTAGCCTAGCTGTTTTAATTTTTTGGATTTTATCTCTCTTCTTGTACCCAAAAAAAGAAATACCTAGTTGAGGTGAGGGGCAGAAAAGACAGAGAAAGAGGTCCTTTTAATTCTCTCCTCGCTTCAACAGAAATCTACTTCAGATATCAACTCTTCATTTTCCGAGAATGCCATTTTCTTCACATGACACCATTCATAGATATATATCCCATCTAAGGCGAATTTTCACGGGACATTACAAGCTTTGCACGTCTAGTTTTCTGATCAATTTCCACTCTAAGTCCAAGTGCCGAAATTTCCGGCACATCAACAGATCCCTGAACCTCCAACTCTGCAACAGCCCTTTGGTTCTCCTCATTCCCCTCCAACATATTCCTCACTGACCATATTCCCCACTCTCTAAGGATGGATTGTCCTCATCAGTAACGCATTGTTGCAGTAGGAGTATAATTCCCTTTTTCCCCCTTATCTCATCTTGTGCATGCTTTCTTCTGTACAAACAATTGCCAACAAGAGCAACAATGTCTCTCCTGAATCCCTTGTACAGGCAGGGTTTCCGCAACCTAGATGCTTCAGCTTTGTCTCGCTTCTCAGATTGTTTTATTGCTTTCCTGATTATTGCTGGAGGCTCAAGATCGTGAAGCAGAGACAAAAGCAAATCAATGAGGCCTTGTGATAACAGTTCGTTAACAACATCCTCTGATTCCCCTTTGATACCTCCTTTCACATCATCTTGGGCACAAATATCTCTCATTATGCTGATAGAGTATCCTAGAACGTCAATGGCAGCACAGCCGGTAGGTATACCAGACTTGGCTTTAGGGGCATGCTCGAGAACTCCAATAGAGTGCTTGAATATTTCATAAACAAACAATGCAACATCCCTTGTAACAGCAACATCAGTGATCCTTTCATTTAAGATTTCTGCCACAATTTCCAAAAGAAATGCCTGTTCAGATGATAACTGATCATCTCTGAATTCAGAAACTTCACCCTCAGAAGCAGCTCCAGACCATAACTTAGAGAACAATAGAGGCAACTGAGATTCTTCCAAGCAGATTCTTGAAAGGAGTAACTTTAACCAATCCTCTCCAAAACCAACTGGGTCATTAGAAACCAATGAATAAGAGAATAATAGAAGAGAAGAAATATAATCAGTGATACAAACTAAAGCAAACTCTCAAAAACCTAATGACAACAAATACATCTTACAACTTACCAAGAGAAGCAGTTCTTATAATTTCTACCATTATGGGCCACCCACTATCACTGTACAGCTTTCTCACCAATTCAGGATTTCCACCATAACATGTATAAATTATCATACACAAAGGGTCGCAAGTCCCCCTATTCCGGAGTCTTGCCAGAGATACAAAACCATTAGGATAGAGTTCTTCCCAAATAGCATGCTGATGGTCTTTCCCAGCCAACGAAACATTTGCCAAAACTTGCAAACAGACACGGGCCAATCCCTGATCTGGGTCCGAACAACTTGCCACCGACCTTAAAAATTGGAGACAATACCAGCCCCCTTGAGCTCAACAAATGAGTTCTGATTTGCAATCTCTCCAGCGCACAGATTTCTAAGGAGCTTCAAAGACAATGGAAGAAAATGATGCTGTGAAGTACATGGCGCAGAATGAATTATCTCCAGCACTGCTGGAAGAATTCCTTTAGAAGAAAGCTCCGAACGCCCAGAAGCAGATTTGGAAATTTCTTCGAAAATTTCCAAGGACTTTTCCAAGTCAGTCGAGCTTGAAGCCCCAAACAATAACCGAAGGGTTTGTTCTGATATGGGGTACTCCAATGTATCGGTATCACCCATTACATATAAGAATGAAAATAAAGATTGAATAATGCGGAAAAAACCCACAATTATTGTTTGAAACTCGGTTCTAATCCTGCAGAAATTTAGCAAAAAAGAAGAAGAAATAAATATATATACAAGAAGGCTAGAAACTACATGCATACAAACACGATGATAAAACCACTAGAATAAAATGGTGGATTCTGCTGTTATCTAGGTAAGGATTAATGAGAGAAATTGTGAATTTTGGAAAGATGAATAGAGAGTCAGAGAGCCAGACACCTTGCACTATATGATAATAATATAGGAAATCTATCAACCAAACTCAAGCACTGGAAATT